AGACGGGGTTTCACCATGTTGACCAGGATGGTCTCGATCTCTTGACCTCGTGATCCACCCGCCTCGGCCTCCCAAAGTGCTGGGATTACAGGCGTGAGCCACCGCGCCCGGCTACCCATTGTACCTTTTAACTTGTTTTTTCAGTCTCTTTATATCATTCATTATACCATGTCATTTTTCTTTGTTGTTCGTATATGAAAGGCTATTTTTTTCACCAGATATTAATTTCATATCCAGCTACCCTCCTTTAATTCTATCGATTTTCAGTTGATTCTCTTGGATTTTCCAGTCATGCAATCACATTATGTGTAAATAACAATTACTTCCTTTTCTATTTTATACCTCTGATTTCTTTCTTCTAATTGTATTGGTTAATATCTCCAGAAAAAATATTAAATAATAATGGTAATAATGAATCTCTGTGTTTTTTCTAAGTTTAATGGGGAATGTTAAATGTTTCCTTATTAAGTATTATAGTAGTTTTGAGAATTAGATGTATTTTATTATGTTAAGGAATATATATTTATTTCTATTTTATTAAGAGTTTTAGGCTGGGCATGGTGGCTTGTGGCTGTAATCCCAGCACTTTGGGAGGCCGAGGCGGGCAGATCACCTGAAGTCAGGAGTTCGAGACCAGCCTGACCAACATGAAGAAACTGTCTCTACTAAAAATAACAAAATTAGCTGGGCATGGTGGTGCATGCCTGTAGTCCCAGCTACTCGGGAGGCTGAGGCAGGAGAATCCCTTGAATCCGGGAGGTGGAGGTAGCAGTGAGCCGAGATCAAGACACTGCATTCCAGCCTGGGTAATAAAAGCAAAACTCCGTGTCAAAAAAGAAACAAAAAAAGTTTTAAAATGTCAGGGATGGATGTGCATGTCTTAGTAGTTGCCTTTAAATATCAACTGAAATAATCATATTATTTTTCTTTATAGATTTATTAAGATGGTGATCTACAGTAATAGATTTCCTAAAATTGATACATCTTTGCAGTCCTACACAAACAAAAACGGAAGCCATTTGGTCATAATATGTTATTCCTTTCACATGCTGCTGTATGCTGTTTCATAAGATTTAAACTTTTAAAAATTGAAAGGCCCAGGTGCAGCAGCTCACACCTATAATCCCAGCACTTTGGGAGGCCAAGATGGGAGGATCACTTGAGCCCAGGAGTTTGAGACCAGCCTGGGCAATGAAGTGAAACCCTGTCTTTACAAAAAATACAGCTAAAAAAATTAGCCAGGTGTAGTTGTGCATACCTGTAGTCTCAGCTACTCAGGAGGCTTAGGTCAGAGAAGTGCAGGAGTTCAAGGCTGCAGAGAGCTATGACCTCCACTGCACTCTGCCTGGTTGACACTTTTTTGAACCCGTCTGTCTCAAAAAAAAACAAACAAAAATTACACACATACAAAAATTAACTAACCAATCCAGCAAGATATTAGAAATATAATGCCCCATGACAAATAGAATGACGTTTCATTTTTAGAAATTCTTGGATGATTTAATATTAGGATTCTATTTTTTTTTTTTTTTTTTTAGGGAGTTTCACTCATGTTACCCAGGCTGGAGTGCAATGGCGCGATCTCGGCTCACCGCAACCTCCGCCTCCTGGGTTCAGGGAATTCTCCTTCCTCAGCCTCCTGAGTAGCTGGGATTACAGGCACGCACCACCATGCCCAGCTCATTTTTTGTATTTTTAGTAGAGACGGGGTTTCACCATGTTGACCAGGATGGGCTCGATCTCTTGACCTCGTGATCCACCCGCCTTGGCCTCCCAAAGTGCTGGGATTACAGGCTTGAGCCACCGCGCCCGGCCCAGGATTCTATTAATAACATACTACTGGATCAAAAAAGAAAGTCAATATTACCTTCTGATAAAATCCTACATTAATTCCCACTAAAATCCTAAGTAAAATGGTAATGGATGAATACTATTCAATATAGTGGAGAAATGTATATCTCAGATAAAATTTCAGCATCATATTTAATGGTCAAATATAGGATAATTTCTTTTAATATTAGGAGCAAGGCAAAGATGCTTCCTATTATTTGTGTTATTTTACATTGTTCTGGAAGAGTCTGACATTACATTTAAACAAGAAAATAAAGCAAAGGGTATAAATATTGGAAATCTGAAGGCAAAATTATTACTATTTATATGTGATATAACTTACATCTGGCAACCCCAAGAAACTTAATTAAGAATTATTAGAAACTGTAAAAGATAGAGTATCTGAATGGGCAGTTCACAAAGGAGAAAATGGAATAAAAAGGTTTTCAGTCTTACAAGTATTCAGGGAAGTACAAATTAAAAATTCAGAGTTCAGAATTTCAGAATTACCACCTGTTAAAAGAAAAAAAATTTAAAAGATTGATAAATCCAATTTTGGTAAGGGCAAGAAGAAACGCAGTAAATCATTCGCTCTAGGTAGAACTATACATTGTTATGGAGCTTTGGGGGGAATACTCATTATATATTAACATTTAAAATGCACATACCCTGTCCCTTTGGCTATAGCTTACAGAAATAAAAGCATGAGTGTGCTAGTATATATGTACAAGAATATTCACTGCAACATTGTTGATAATACCAAAAAATTAGAAACAGGTGAAGGCCAGGTGTGGTGGCTCACACCTGTGATTCCAGCACTTTGGGAGGCTGAGGTGTTCGGATCACCTGAAGTCAGGAGTTTGCGACCAGGTGGCCAACATGATGAAACCCTGGCTCTATTAAAAATGCAAACACGGACGGGTGTGGTGGCTCACTCCTGTAATCCAAGCACTTTGGAGGCCAAGGCGGGTGGATCACCTGAGGTCGGGAGGTCAAGACCAGCCTGACCAACATGGTGAAACCCCCGTCTTAAAAAAAAAAAAAATTAAAAAAAAATTCGAACATTAGCCGGGCATGGTGGCAGATGCCTGTAATTCCAGGTACTCAGGAGGCTGAGGCAAGAGAATTGCTTGAACCTGGGAGGTGGAGACTGCTGTGAGCCAAGATCATACCACTGCACTCCAGCCTGGGCAACACAAGCAAAGCCTTGTCCCCCTCCTGCTCCCACAAAAAAAAGAAACAGGTGAAGACCCCATTGGTAGAAGAATGGCTGAATAAATTATTGCATATCCACAGAATAGAATGTTATGTAATTATAATTTATATAAAATAATTAAATTAGTGTATATAAATAAACATAATTTAATAAGGTATTTATGAATACATAACATTATTAATTTTCCTAGATATATTTATTAGTCAGAAAATATGATAATAGAAAAAATGTCCCATTCATTGTAGCAACCAAAACAACCCATAAAATGTCCAGAAAAATGTAACACGATTCCAAATAGGGACCCACAGGAAAAATACTATAAAGTACTACTAAAGAACATAAAAGAAAACCTAAGTAGA